TCTTTTTATCCACATGGTTTTTAACCAATGTAATGTAGTACTGCCTTGTCCCCAGTTTAATGCTGTATAACATACAAATACTGGCCAAGAAATTTGCTAGGAAAGTCAAACTACACTAGTAGTACACATTACTCGAAGTGCAGTGCAGCATACTACTGAAAGCTTTGTTTAACGCTATGACCTGATTACCCTACCTGGACCAGATCCAAATGTATCTCTTTCAGGGAATTGTGCTTTTAGCAGATCATGGCTGAGAGCATTTGTGATGGACATTACAAGTTACTGGGCTTTTGTGTGGCAAGTCTATTATCTGTAATAGCCTCACTACTGCTTAGATGTAGAAATAAAAACAAAGTAAGAGTACAACATACTATCATTTTGTGGTTTTCCTAGACTTGCAAGATGCATGTTTAACATAAATATGTATTTCTGATCCTGGATAAAAAAAAAAACTTCAAACATCCATATATAACTTGTACATAAAAATAATCAATATAGATTTGAAAGCTATTTACAAATGCTGTGAGTTGGTCTATGTGACTAAAAATGAAAATGTGGTATCTTGTGCAGCCTACAAGCACTGCACTCATAAGCTTCCTAAGAGCTACATTTGCAATTCAAGCACTTGTCATTGCTTTCAGTAATCTGGGAAATACTAATATGTAGTCTTTTTTTGTGCTACTGCACATGTAAATCCAGTGTTCTATCGAAAGTTCCAACTCCTCCAGTTCTCCAACCATCTGACTTCCGGTTTAGTTAGAAGTAAGAGGTTTGACCCGAGAAGGCTGTACTGCACATGGGCCATCTGTGGCATTTCCTTATACAAATAGTACACAGAAATAAAATATTAAAATTAACTAGGTTTACAGTAATGCAGCACGTTATTAATCTGAGTTGCCACACTCAATATGGCCGCAAGCGGCGACCATATTGAATAGGGCAACTAAGTGGCGGCCATATTGAGTAGGGCAACTAAGATTAATAACGCCTCGAACACCGGCAGCATATATAAGAAGGATTAAAATCAAAGTGATAACTAACAGCCATCCTTGTGTTCTTTGCAAGCTTCCCATTGGTGGTTTGAACAGCTAAGTATGAGATCAGCAAATAAGGTAGTTTACATTTTGTCACTGGTTTCTCTAAGAAGAATGGAGGTTGGTTGATGTTATCCAATCATAAACAAGAATTGTTTACTTACTTTCTGGTTGCTGGCACTGACGGTTATACATCTAGTTGGTAAAAACACAGCTGACCTTTTCAGACTGTACCACAGAAGATAGGAAAGTAGCAGGTGGACAGTAACTGACTGCCAACGTCACTGCTGGTTAATTTAGTCACATGCATCTTTCATCCTAGAGGTGCAGATGCTCTTGTGATGATGTTGTGATGACGGTTTACTGTTTTCACTGAAATATTCATGTGACTAATGGTATCAAAAGATGTAAAGACTCTGTGACAGAGTGATATATATCACATGTGTCTTTTTTGTGTTTTGTCAGTTAGTTGAGTCCAACTTTGCATGACCTCTTGAGGTTTGACATGGCAGGCTGTTGTTGGCAGTTGTTTTTTCTGAGCACTTGTAGGCCCATATCCATTGCTTTATCCTCTGTCATCAACATCTCCTGTTAAATAAAACCTTTTCAAATATCAGGGTCTTCTATAGCCTCACGTTCACATTATTTGGCCAGAATTTTGGAGCTTACATTTAACTGAGTCTTTCCAGTGAGCCATCTAGGCTTATTTCCTTGAGTAGTGACTGATGTGTCCTTTTTTCAGTCCAAGGAATGCTAAGAATTTTCATGGGCACCTCATTTCAAAAGTGTTGATTTTCCAGTGCTCCATTACCTAATAGTCCAACTTTCAGTGCTGTATGTTGCTATTTGGAAGACCAAACCTCTGATATTTTGAATCTTTTTTAACCATGCTTATCAGTTCCCCGCTACCTTCTCCAAATGAGCACAGCTCTCTCTACCCAAGAAGCTTGTTTTGACATTCACAGATACAGACAATCTACAGAGACCTTGGAGCCCAGTGAAAAGCACATCCTTGTATCAATTTCTTTCTCATCAAGGACCTGATAAGGCTAGTTGACATAATCAACTTTATTCCACAAAGAATTCTTAAATGCAGCAACCCATAGAAACCAATCATAATTGATCATGTAATGCCTAACTTTTAATTGGTTCTGCACCTAAGAACTATCACTTAAAAAATACAAACTCTTTATTGAGAAGTTAGTATTTGCTGTTTTAGTAAAGGTGGCAGTGATGGGGCATCACTTTGATTAGGACAGGGACAGCAACAGGTTTTTATTGTGCTGTCTTTCTGTTCCATTGGAATTCCCATCATTAGTTGCTTTGATGTAACAGGGACAGATGGAAATCCACTCAGTGGAATCCCAGACAAATACAAAATTGGCAGAAGTTATAACTTTCACTATTCTGTCTGAAATTTAAAAAAAGATTTTGGCTGGAGTTGGAGTATGCATTGAGCAGAAACCATTGCATTCAGACTTTCTATATACAGCTAGCACACAGTAAAAGTGAAACAAAGTAAAAACAAACTAAATACAACTAGTAAGCTTTCTGTTTTATAAGGCATAGCTACAGTACATGCAATAGTACAGTATATGCAAAGTACTTGCCAATCAATCTGGCATTTTTTTTTTTTTAGCAAATAGTCTTTATTTGAATTTTATGAATAAGAAAAATACAATAAGACATTTTAGTCTGACCCCGTGGGGTGCAGACGGCACTTTGTTACATACAACGTAAAGCAAGAAATAACAGCTAATACAGTGATATCAGTCAATCTGGCATTTTAATCAATTATCTAGCTGCATTGACCTGAGATCTGATCCTGTGATTTCTATGAATTACTGTGCAACAATAAATTACGTTTTTACAGTCAGGAACCTGAAATGCATCCAGTGCTCTTAAGGTGCCCATACACTGTGCGATTATCGCACAATAATCACGGGAAATCCCGCGATCGTACGATAATCGCAAAGTGTATGGCAGACGTGCGACCGTTTTTACTGTACGGTCGCACGTCTTTTGTCTAAGGAGCATGTTCGAAAACCAGCTGAAAAGCGTAAGATTTTCGGCTGGTTTGTGGCATGCTTGGGAGACAAATGCGGAACGGGACGGTGTGCGCACGTGCACACTGCCCGGTCAGCATTGCGGTCATCGGAAGCCCGCCCCTCAGGGGGGCGGGCTTGCGATGATCGCAAGTACGATCTGCCTGTCCAAGATGGGCAGATCGTACGTTTTTTAAATTACTTTACAACCCTCGCAAGACAAAAGTCTTGCGAGGGTTGTATAGTGTATGGGCACCTTTAGCCTTTTGAATTCCATTGCTATCATCATCCATATTATCAGCAGCTGCAGGTATTCCCTCAGATTCACCTCCCCAATGCTCTATGCATGTTGGAAAGCCTAGCTCTGGTTGCAGTGTAAATGTTTCAATACTAGCAGTTAGTGGCTTTAAGAATAACTAAAGCCAAGAAAAAGTTGATATACTGCAGTTTACAGATCCTTAGTTGTTGCATTAGTTTTCTTTTTTCAGTCGAAGAACATTTTCAGCAAGCTCTTTGTTCTATAAACTATTAATCCAATCAGCCCCTATCTAATGAAGATTAACAAAGGCAAACATGTTTGTAATCCAGCCTTGGTGACAACAATGGCTCCCTCTGTGCATACTAGTGAAGGCAGTGCAGCCACACAAAGAGAAGACGTGTGTTACTTGTAGAATTGTCAGCTTAAAATAAAAGGGAAATAAATCTACAGCCACCACCACATCTAACGATGAGGAAAAGTGGCAGTACATTCAATATTTGTTTTGGCGTTTACATAAGCTTCAATCTACCAAATGGTCATTTGTCCATTGTTTTTGTTAAAGCATATGTAAACCTAATAACAAAAATGTAACACACTGCAGCTGATTAGTTCTTAGATTCTGAGGCCACACAAGTTCCCCTTTTTTAGGCATTTTTTCATTTATTTTCACCTGGTGATCCTGTTAGTAACACACTTCTGTCATAGGGTGACAATTAACTGCACTGTATCTGTTGAGGAGTAGCTTGTCACCCTAGGCTGTTCTCCTTTTTGGACTACAAACATGCCCCCCTCCTCATCTTCTCATGTCTATTACATGGAGGGGATTGGTTTTGGAGTTAAAAATGCTGGAAAAAATGATCTAAAGACTGGTAAGCTGCAATATATACAATTTTTGTTCTTGGGTTTAGATCGTCTTTATTATTGCCATTTGCGTAGGAACAACCCTAATGTTATAATCACCACACTAAATTTTTCCTAGAATACTATGTAATACAATAAAATCACAGTGAACCTCATAGCATTTCTTACACATTTTCACGGTGAGACATTTATTGAAGTGATTCCTGGAAATTTCATTTGCTTAATAAATGAGAAGAACGCCTGGAAATGACAATTCATGGAATGAAGGCAAACTGAATTTGATAATAATGACTTGGATCCATCACTTTCCCCCTCTGTTCCATCCCTTTACCATACAAGAATTACATAGTAGCTGCCATTAAGTTTATAGCTGATTCTATAAAATCTCCTTGCTATTCAAAGCATATCTCTATGTTGAAACTGCCAACATACTTTATTCTTTTTGGACGCTTGAGATGACATTTGCCTCACTCACTTTAGTACTGCCATCAGTTAAAGTAATATTAAAAAGAACACAGTGTTCATAAAGCAAACTATAATACCTCTGCGCTGTTGTTTCTATGTTAACGATGATTCTGCTGCAGTTTAAACGTGCATTTAACACTGATTTGTAATATTATTTTATATACATTTATTATTATCTTTTATAATATAGGATT